GACCTTAAAACTCAGCTGGCTCTTTCCTGACATTTTTTAGCATCTTGGACATTTTTTTTCCTGAAAACAAACTTTTCTAACTCATCTGACTGTCTCAGGCAAACTATTGTGTCCCCCCCCTCAGTTTTTATTGAGTTTTTGTGCATTTCATATAATGCATCTTAATTAAATTTAGAACGCCCTCCCTTCTCACCAACACCCATACCCCTCACCAGATGTCAGGTATTCTGTCGTATATGTTAAGTCCTATGTGATCAAGCATTTGTTTGTCTGTTTATTTTGTTTCTATTTTTATTTTCTATTTTCATCTTATGGATATGAATATATTGCCTGCATGTATATAAGTGCACCCATGTTGTACAATGCCTGTGGAGGTCAGAAGGAGGTCGGATTGGAGTTACAAATGGCTGTTAACCACCATATGGGTGCTGGTATTTGAACCCAGGTCCTCTGCAAAAGCAGTCAATGCTCTTAACCACTGAGCCATCTCTCCAGTACCCCCCTCCATCAAGCATTTGTATCCAGACGTCCCTTGAAGCTAGTTCATGCACTGGAGTCAACATACTCTAGACTGTTTCTCTGTCCTTTAGCTTCTGTAGAATCTTCTATTGGCAAGTCCTGTAACCACTAAACTAGGTCCTGGCCTTGTTCATACTGGCCTGCTTTGCTCTGTTTTGGGGAATAAGGAAGGGGTCATGATCTCTGAGCACTCTGAAACTTCCATATAACTAACTGAATCACTTAATCCAGTGCCTACTCTGCCACTCAACTCCTACCACCTTTATCTAATCATAACCAGAATGTACTGAGATTTTCATCTTAAAATTTTTTTCAACTATAATTGTTATCATAAAATTAATCTTTAATAATGTTCATATATAAGCATACTCCCATATCAGGTTAGTAGATTTGTTGTATATAATAATATTGTTATAACTCTCTTGGAATAACTCAATTTTCTCTGTCTGATACACCTCATAATTTCATTTTCATAGTTTAGGAAGCTAAAGAAAAATAATATTCGCACAGTTTAGAGAACTGAACAAAGACAAAGGAAGTCCCTGTTCTATAATGTGAACTCTTGTTCCCAGAATCCATAGCTTTAGAATGGGAAATTCTAGGAGTATAAAAAAGTAGTAGCTTTCTGAAATAGTATGTGTAGCCAGCAACCCAGATCCAACCTACTAGTGATCCTGTGTTTAGTTCTGTCAGAAATATCTTCCTAGTCTCTGCCACCCATCTGCTGGGTCAAAAGATAAAATGTACATAGAGTTAGGAACTGATAATACCCATAGACTATGTTGTTGCTGTCTGCCTAATCCCATCATGATGCGTATTCTGAAGATCTAAGTAAGTAGAACACAGAAGGGTACTTTATTACACAGGTAAAAGAGCTATGATATGGCAGTGTGGGTAATCTATGAGACTGAGGAGAGCGAAAAAAGATACTTCTGGAAAAAAAATCACATTCAGGACTCAAAGTTGCTCATACGATAGACCACAAAGTCTGGTATGTTTGCTGTCAACTTGAAGAGATAATAGAGATGGTTTTGATATGGCTTTGGATGGGTAAATAACATGATCAGTGCCTTAGAAAGATTAGACCTCTGGCAACATTCACAGTTGCTTGCTACAGACTAAGGCTAGCAGCCTTAACACTAATCCGAGTTAAAAGGTTGAGGGCCAGGACAATGATTTTGAAGTAGATAAAGTAAGAGTCATACAAGAATCCATTCCAGAGAGTATCAGAGGGAGAAGGTAGTATGTAAGCGTTAAGAGGGAACAAGTCTTCTTTAAGCCAAAGTGCCCTATTACTTGGAGACTATCCTGTACTTCTTTTCTCCAGGAAGCCTCAGGTTGGTAGGGGAAGATAGACAAGGCGAGTAAATACTCTGCTGCACAGTTTTCATATCGAGATAGGTAAGAACTCTCTAGGGTTTAGGACTCTGATCCTTTGTTTTAAAAGTAGGGACAGGAAGCCACTGTCAATTTCTGTCCTCACCTTTCCTTTCTGCTGGCTTCTAGAAGATAGTTGTGATTATTTGCTATGCGTTAGGAGATTGTCACTTTCCTGGCCCTCTTGAAATAACTGAGGCTAAAGCTAAATCTAGGGCAGAGCAATTCAACTTTTCAAAAGATCTTTTAAGAACATTGATTTTTATGTAGTTCTTTCTTGTTCTGGAACTTGTGAATCTGTTAAATGCCAGATTGTATCCCAGCCAGAAACTTGACACAGCTCTCAAGCGAGGCATCAAAAAATTGATTAAATCTTTTTATACAGACAGTATCATTTTCTTAAAGACATACAAACCATTGTGTAGGCTTAGCAGTATATCATCTTTATGAGCACCTTTTATTAGAAATGACAATGACCAGAGACCAAATATGCCAGTGAATCAAGTCCTTTTGTGTGTACGAATCACAAAAAGTTTGATAAGATGGCATCTCTTACAATAATGTCTTCAGAAGTGAGGTCAGTTTTCTGCTATCCTAAAAGTACTTGGGTGCTCAACATTAGGATGTGATAGGTTGTTTCTCTGGGGAGTTTCCATGAACCCAGAGACTAGTTCTTGGAGGTCAGATTATGCTTCTATTTTCTTCCAATATTTTTGCAAGTAGAGAAATTTACTATGGGGAAAATGCAAGGAAACTTCTCTTGCTGAATGACTGGGTTCATCATTCTTAATACTATTAAGCTTTACATTTAATGTTCCTGCCTTTTAATTTGCCTGTAATAAATACTTATAATTTTGGAATTTTTTTTCTCTTGTCAAAAACAAACTTTAAAAACATCATTTATTGCCAGGCATGGTTGCACACAGCTTTGATCCCAGCACTCCAGAGACAAAGGTGGGCAGATCTTTGTGAGATCAAGGCCAGCCTTATCTACATAACTAGCTCCAGGCTAGCTGGGACTACACGGAGACCCTGTCTCAAAAAGACAAAAAAAAAATCATTTATCTATTTTTCTTTTTAAATTTAAAGCTAGGAACAAGAGGGTAGATGTAATATTTAATGCCAATTGATTTCTCTGCCTGAGTTCTACAACGAAGGCATGTAATATCCTAAATCAGAAAATGGTTACAGAGAGCAGTACCCCAAAGGTATTTTTCAAATTTTCATTAGTTTTAATTATATGTGATAGATATTTTCCCCGAATTAGTAGTTTTGATGAGCTGTATCAGAAAAGTGTATGACAGCCAAATGAAATTTAATTGACTGTTGGGAGACATGAAAAATTTGGCTCCCAGGATAGAGCAACTGAGGCATTTTCAGATGACAGAGATGTGTTTTTTAGTCAGAGTTTTGTATTATCATAATAGATAACTGAGAAGGAAGGAAAGGTTTGTTTTGGCTTGTGATTTTAAGGATTTCAGTCTCTGGGGGGTAGGCTCTATTTTTTTCTGGATCCAGCAAAGCAGAATGTCATGCAAAGGGAACATGTGGCAGAGACTTGCTCCAGCTATCTCCTACCTCCTACTTTTCACCATATCCCAACCAGGCCATCAGATTACAGCATTAACCCATTGATTAGATTAGAGCTATTAAGATCCAACCCCCCCAAGCCTGTCAGCTGGAATCCAGGCCCATCACATCAACCTGCTGGGGACACTTCATACTCCAACACTTATAGTGTTACTTGTCATACACAAAAAAATGACATATATATATGTAGCAAATGGAGGATTAACAGGATGATCAGCATCTTGAAACAATATTATGTATGCAACAGTTAAAATAACGAAGAATTGTTAGCCTAGAAAAGAGCAAAATCTTTGAATATTAGTTCTGATAGAGTCCTCACCCATCATCATCCAGTTCCCTTCATTGTGCAGATGAGAGTCAAAGGAGTTGGATGAATTGGTGAAAGTTATGGAGCTAATCTGTGGCAATCCAGAAACTAGAGCATAAGGCCACTTCAAAACCCATGCCCCTTCCATCCTATAAAGCCGAGGCTCTTAGGAAGCATACGTAACACAAAAGCATAAAGAGCTGGCAAATAGAGGCAACCACTAAGAGTTCATTTACCTATTGCCAGCGTGCCACCTACCATGACAACCATTCACAGTGGAGAAAACTGCAGCTAAAGTTGATTGACACTTTTAAAATGGGTATCCATATATGCTTTTTCAGAAGCCTGGGTGAGAACACTGAAAACAAGTTATAAATTTGTAATTTCTCAAAACATCAGGAGAAAATGAGGAGGAAAAAAACAATAGAATTGTATGACAGTGTACAAGGCAGGGCTCAGAACTGAGTTTCTCACCATGGGCAAGCCAGGTGGCAATCAATAGAAGGTTCCCTGCAGAAGTTTCTTAATGAATGGAAGCCAGGATTAAATTATATCTAAGAACCTGTTTTTTATATTTTATTTATTATTTTTATGTGTATGTGTGTATTGCCTGCATGTAGGTAAGTGCACCCGTGTTGTGCACAGTAGAGGCTATCGGATCCCCTGAAACAGGAGTTACAGGCAGTTGTTAGCTGCCATGTGAGTGCTGGGATTCAAACCTGGGTCTTCTGCAAGAACAGCCAGTGTTCTTAACCGCTGAGCCATCTCTCCAGCCCCAAGAATCTGTTTTAAAACTGCTGGTGATGCAGAGGAGGAAAAGCATGTAGCTAGTGCAGTGTTCAGCAAGACTAATCTGATGGCAACAGTAAAAGGAAGAGGGAGGAATGCTGGTGGGAAACTAGTTTTGAGCTGTGACATTTTGAACTATCCACATGAAGTCACAGTAAAATAAATGCTGGGTCAAACCACAAAAGCTTCAGAGTCCCATCTGGACTTTTTTCACCTCTCCACCTAAAACTGTTTACACATTAAGTTATGAACCTCCTGAGAGCTCTGCTCCTGGCCAAGCTCTTTAAAATTCTCCACAGTTGATATTTCTGCCAGTCCCAGTGGCCGTCCATCATGGAGATGCTGAGAGGAGGAAGACAGTCTGTATTCAGCTGAGAAGCTAACATACCTCCTTCATGATTGTCTCTTTTATCTTTAGGTTATGTTGACATTGGACTCATTCCCAAAGGGGCAAGGGACATTAGGGTAATGGAGACCAAGGCAGCTGGAAACTTCCTGGCCATCAGGAGTGAAGACCCAGAGAAATATTACCTCAATGGAGGGTTTATTATCCAGTGGAATGGGAACTATAAGCTGGCAGGGACTGTCTTCCAATATGACAGGAAAGGAGATCTGGAGAAGCTGATGGCTCCAGGACCCACCAACGAGTCAGTATGGATCCAGGTAATCCTGAAGGGATGGAAACTGCTGGCCCATGTGCTCAATAGCATCCTTCTCATTTCTTTCCAGCAATATATATGAAAGGATGTTAACTATGAATCATTAAAACTTCTTTTAGCAAAGATCAGGGAGGAGAGCAAGGCGTGTGTGCCATTTCTTCCTTGTCTAGAGATTGCTGAGCCTCCCATAACAAAATGTCAGGACCTCTAAAACCATCTGTGAGATATTTGAGTCTAGTTTCCAGGCCGATTTATTTGAGCCTAATTATTCCTCACCTATTTAAAATATGTCGGTGTGGCTTCCTAGCAGTGGTGACAAACTGAACTGCTATCCTGTAGTTGTCAGGAGGCGTTTTCCTTTGTGAATCTCTTGGAGCAGACAGCTCAGGTTGCAGTATACACTTTTCAAAGGCTAAGGCTTGTGTCTTTCATTTTAGACATAGAACTACAGAAAAAAAAACTAGGATGCTGTATTCGTAGGGACAAAGCAAGTTGGAGATGGCAGATGGCCCCAGACAATCAGAGACAGTCACATTCAAAAGCCAAAATGTGGTTCCAGAGCCAGAGGGCAGAACACTCACAGAAGCTGGAGGTCGAGGTTGTCATGAACATTGTCATGTCAGAACCACTATACACTGAAGCCACCCATCAGCTTGAGGGTTAGAGAAGCATTGTGCGACCACAAATGAAAACATTAATACCTGAGTGCTGACTTCATGTCATGTTCTAATCACTTTATATGTAGTTTACTCACTTAGCCCTTATGAGAATCCCATCAGCAGATGCTTCTTAGACTTGTTTTGAATAGAGGGAAACTAAAGCACTTATGTATGTTCACGAAGTTGGTAAGTACATAGGGTACAAGGTGACCTATTGATAATGTCCATGTGATTAAACTTTCCTATTTACTGGAATGGAAATTTCCATGGTATTTCAATCAATAAATAACAGAATGGAGACCCGGTAGATACAGAGGCAGAGATAGACAAACATAGATGTAGATGTAGATTCATTTAGTGGTATCAGATCTAATGCACACCTTTTAACTACTTTTTTAATATTTTATTTATTATTTTTATTTTATGTGTATGAGCATATTGCCCGCATGTGTGCAAGTGCACCCATGTCGTGCAATGCCTGCAGAGGTCAGAAGAAGGCATCAGAACCTCTGAAACTGGAGTTATGAACAGTTGTTAGCAGCCATGTGGTTGCTGGGACTCAACCCCTGTCCTTTGCAAGAGCAGTCAGTTCTTTCAACTGCTGAGCCACCTCTCCAGCCCATTCTTTAACTACTTTTAAGTGACAGACATTGTGTAATGTTTTGTGTATATGCGTACAGGTTCACATATATGCATATATGTGTGTGCAGGTGTGCATGTACACCAGAGGTCAATGTCAGGTGAGGTGTCTTCCTCAATTGTTCTCTTTTTATTCTGTTTAATTATTTCTCTAAGGCAGGGTGTCTCATTACACCAGGAGCTTGTTGATTCAGTTAGATTTGCTGGCCAGAAAGCCCCAGGAATCCTTTTACTGCTTCCCTGGTGCTAGGATTATAGGCATGTGACACCATGCTTGGCATTTTACCTATATGTTGGGGATATGAACTCAAGTCCTCATGTTTGCATGGCAAGCATTTTACCCTACTGAGACATTTTCCCAGCCACTGGGTAGTGTTTTCAAGTGCTTGGTTTACAGTCCAAACTCATGATATTTTGACATGAGTCCTCTTGCTTTTTAGCTACTATTCCAGGTGACTAATCCTGGCATCAAGTATGAATACACAATCCGAAAAGATGGCCTGGACAATGACATGGAGAAGCTGCTGTACTTCTGGCAGTTTGGCCGCTGGACAGAGTGCAGTGTTACGTGTGGGACAGGTGAGAAACTGCTACTGCCACTAGGAACCCCTGCCAGCTTTGGAGTGGGCCAAGGAGGTATTCTAAGCCAGTGGTTTTCAATTTATACTTGTGGATCTTCAAGTTCCCACAAAGGTGGCCTGGGGACCCCTGTGGGTGGTGAATGCACAGGAAGGATGTGGTTTAAAGGAAGATGTAGTCCACTCATACCTCATTAGTCTCCTTTTGTCATGTGGATACTGTCCAGCAACAAAAGAAGACTGGAAAAGATGAAAGCGCAGGGGGATATTGGAGAGCATAGATAGTGCTCAAGTAATGGATGAACTTTGCCAATGCCTGTGATGGCCAGGGTCAGGCCTACCAGTATTTAGGGCCTGTGCTCATTTAAGGAGCTTTAGTCATAGTGTTGTATGTGAATGCTTTTGCTTTTGTACTTCTCTTTAGGTCATGGCTGAGTCTGTTCTGGAACTTTTTGCCTCCGGCCTGTAACAAGTGCCTACAAAACTAGAACAACTGCATGTGTACACATGAGCCAAAGTGTGTGAGGCAACAAGGGTAATAAAATGAAGGACCCAATGGGCCAGGAAACCAACCTCTGTTCTTACTCTGCTTGGCCTGTTCCCTTGCTGCTCTATGCCCAGGATGCAGTTGTAGAATGAGACCTAGAACCAGAAGTGGGGTCACACATAGTCTACTTCAAACACAATTGTTTTTATTATTAATGTCTTCCTTTCCTAAATTTAATACCGAAAATTATTTAGCTTTTAGAACTCATAAAAATAAAATGTCCATTTAAAAATATTTATTTTTATTATCTTTAATTATGTATAAATGAAGCAGAGTATGCACATATGTATGCAGGTGTCTGTGAAGGCCAGAAACGTCACGTCCTCTGAAGCCAGAGTTACCGGTCATTGTGAGCTGCCCAATGTCGGTGCTTGGAACCAAGCTCTGGCCCTCTGCAAGAACAGTGCAGGTCTTTAACCACATAGCCATCTTGCCAGATCCTAAAATGTGCATTCTAATATACTTTATGAATTTTGAGAATTTCATACATGTGTACAGTGTATTTTGATCATAAACACCTCCTAGGCCCCTCACCCAAATCCTCTTCCCAACTTCATGTTCTCTTTTCTTTTTAACACACTGAATCCAATTAGTGCTACTCACATGGGCACTGAAAAATGTGTAGAGGGTTTTGAAAATGTAAAGCCTCTAGAAATCAATCCAGGCCAAAGGCACAGTCTGGCAAGCCCCATAAGTGGTGCTGGTAGACAATTCATTCCTGATTCCCATGGCTATCTCCAACATTGCCCTGACCGGTTGCCCAGTGTGAGCTAGGCTCCCAAAGGCACAAAGGCAATTGAAGCAGAAAACTAATGGGAGGAAATGCTTTTCCTGAGGACATGTTGTGAGAAAAATAAAGTCATCATGAATACAGTTACAGCACATTTTCAACCTGTGATCACCCTTATTCTCAGCTCTCAGAGAAGTGCAAGTTCAAACTGTATGCTTAAATAATTTGTTCAAGGACCACACAAAGTGAAGCTTAACTAGTATTAGCTTTCAGGCACTCCACAAAGAAACAGAACATCTACTCTCTTCTATTTCAAAATAAAGTGAAGAGATTAGTCCTTCCCTTGTTCCCACACCTTTCATGTTGTTCTCTTGTATTGCAGCTGCTTGGGGGCTTCTCAGTTGGTGCCTTGCTCAGTGTGCTCAGGAAACTGCTGACTGCCTGCTCTATCTATACCTGTTAGCTTCTAAATGTTAGGAGATTTTGTAGGCCTCCAATTTTCCTTAACTCTGTGCTTCACCTCACTTGCACACAGTGGCTACAAAAAGGGAATCACAATCAAGTTGGAGAACTGTTTGATTATGGTTAATTTTGCAAATGGATCCTTCATAGGACAGACCATTTTTTCCCGACACTATTAAACATTCTTCAAGCACAATCAATGCTCTTATTTGAGCATTTTTTCCACACAATTTCTTGTAATTTTCCTCTACCATGACAGTCAATATATAAATTTATGTAATTAGGTCATTGGCTCTTCAGAGGGGAAAATACTATTGGCTTTGAGTCTTACTGATGTGACCTGTATGGGTTTTAGCAATGACTAATGATAAAAATCAAGCACATTAATTCATATCCAACCAATAGCTGAAATCAGTGAATTTTTTTAGGTAGAAAAAAATGAATTGTGGAACTGAGATTTCAATCATTTATAGGAAGAAAGCTGTATCCTAAGTGTATAAAAACAGGCTGAAGTGGACTGGACAAGTTAAATTTCCTCTGTTCTCTAACCCTGGAGTGTGAGTCCAACCTACATCTCAAAACCTGCAGGAAGCAGAGTGATAGATTTAATACCTTATGATATATAACTGATAGATATATACCTACATTTTTATCCTTCCTACAACTCTGTATTGTAAGCTTATTGCTGTCAAGGAGATGAAGAGTAGGAAGCTGAGGCTTGGGAAAGTTAGAAAGATTGTCCAAGAGCACTCAGCAAGTATATGTTAAAAAAAAAAAAAAGCAGATTCAAAATCAGGTATAATTCTTATAACTTTGTTGTTGATATTGATGTGGTTGCTACTGATTCAGTCTCTCTCTCTCTCTCTCTATATATATATATATATATCTCAAATACATACACACATGCAGTCATACATATACATACACATACACACACACACAGACTTTAATGTGCTTAAACTCTGGTAGTGGTAGAATCCAAACTTTCTTTTACTGAACTTTGTTGTGAAGGGTAGATATGAACTCATTAGTTAAAGAAAACAGAGCTGAGGGAGCTAAGGGAGTCAGAGAAATAAGCAAGGGCTTATTGTATGGGAATTGAAATTGAAGTTGATGTAAGGATGCACTTGTCAAAATACAGACAGGTTTTCAATTCCCGCACTTCCCTTCTTCCTATGAAGTTAATGTTATTTCTGTGTACTGATATTTGCGGGGTACATTTCAGTGACAAACTATTGATTCATAAAATTGTCATCATTTTACATTATTAAAATAAGGTACAATTTTAGAAAATTAGAACTTATGTGAATGTGAAATTTACCTTGTACTGATATTATTGTCACTTGAGTGGGCGCAAAGAACGTGATCTTATTCACTACAGTAAAGGCTGAGTAGATGATAGTCTGAGTTCTTTCAGATGATGTAGTTAATCAGTGCCTGGTGCTCTTAAAGTCCCTACATTATCAGAAATACTGAGCTCTTGTTTGTGTAAGTCTCACAATAAGCTGTCTACAGTTGTTTTTATCTATCTTCCTCCTAAATTAAACTTTTGAATTACAAATCTTAAATAAACAAAATTAACCATATAACAAACTCCCCCTATTTTTAAAATCGCAGTATTGATTTGGGAAAATGATAAACGATGTCCTTGTTCACTTTTTCCCTCATGAGGAACTTAGCTTGTTCCCTCTCTCAAGGTATGTTCCTTGGAAAATGATGAACTTTAAAGCATAGTATGGCAGTTTCAAAAATCAAGGTGCTTAACTGAATGTACACGTAGCAGATTTTATCAAGTATTTACAAAGGGATTTAAAATCTTCTGGAAACAGCATTTTGTATTTGATTTTCATAACTTTTTTCAGCATTATTAATCATTGCTCTACATTTTTTAAAAAGTTTATTGAGTTATTGTGCATTTCATATACTAAATCTTGATCGAATTTATGTCCCCTCCCCCACCTGTGCCTCCCCCCCCAGCTCACTCCCACCAGGTTTCATGCATTCTGTCATATATGTTAAGTCCTCTCTGGTCAAGTGTTTGTGCAGAGATGTCCTTTGGTGTAAGTTCATCCACTGGAGTCTAGTCAGCCTATCTAGAGCCACTCCCTTAAAGATCTACTCTCCCAAACCCAGCAATAATCAGTTTTCAATAGTTCTTTGGCTAGGGTTGGGGCCTGCTGCCCATTTCCCCCATTCTATGCTGGGTTTTTGTCTGGTTGAGTCGGCATAGGTCTTGTCTCCATTGTTGCAAGTTCATATGAGCAAGCTCCCAGAGGCATGGAAGCCTCTGTTTCCTTATGTTCATGCACCAACCCTGGCTCTTACAACCATTCCACCCTTTTTCCACAATGGTCCCTGAGCCATGGGTGGGTGAGATTTAGTATAGGAGTCCTAGCCAGGGACACACCCTCTGTAGTCTCTTATTCTCTAAAATAGAAATCGTAGGCTTCTGTGTGCTTTGTACTGTTATATGAGGAAGCTTCAGTGGTGAGAGTTGAGGGATATATTAGTATTCTCTACATTCTTTCTTTCTTTAGTGTGTTTTCATGTGTGTGTGCATGTGCACATGCCATATGTATGCCACAGTGCACATGTTATGTCAGAGGTCAACTTGCAACAGTCAGTTCTGTCCTCCCTCTATGTGGGTCCTGGGGGTCAAACTCAAACTTCCAGGCTTGGTGGAAGTGCCTTAACTCCCTGAGCCATCTTACCAGCCTAATTCCTACCTTGGAAGTAGAAACTCCAAGTAAATATCTTTAGATAAAGAAGTAACTTTGTGCTGTGATATCATATTGATTTATTGGCATCCTCAATTAACTAGAATTTCTTTGGAGGTAGTGTCAGGCTTGCACAGAAAGGAGCAAATGACAAGCCATAAAAAGCCATATCATTTTTCTTTAATTTTCAGGGAAAAGTTAAATCATATTAATTCAGCCTGATCTCTTATACGTTCTGAATTTGCAGTGTTGCATAACAATAACTATTCTTAAAACCATGCCCTGATTCTAGCCCTGTCCAGAAGTGCTGTTACAACAGCTCATAATAAATAAAGACTGTGCTAGTTCAAAAACTGGATTTCAGAGTTAACTAATGAGTTTGTCATTCAAGATTATTAGTTTGGGGTTTTTAGTTTTTACTGTAAACTGCTATTTTAATTATTGTAAAAGAACTATTAACAATCAAAGATCCCAGCAGGAAACAGCAAACTGCAAACTGACTACATTGGCTGTGTTCACAGATATGGGCAGGGGGATCTAGAGAAGCCAAGGGAGCGAAATAACGCCCACTAACATTGCATGACAAGAGAAACAATACCAATATCCCTAGGCCAGAAGAATTAGGAGAAGGGGAAGTTGGACAAAAAGTGCTCAAACTTTCAAACCCAACTGGAAACCACAGCAATCCATAGGGATCACTTCCTAGAGTTCAGAGTGGGTACAGAAAGGAAAAGAGTCGATGTGGAAGGAAGAAAAAACTATAGCACAGGAGAGGAGAAGATGGAAAATCCAACAAACTCAATGCTTTGTAAAGAAAGGAAGCTAAGCTGGATGTAGCCTTGGGTCTTCACTGGAGAAGGAAGAGATCTGTCATTCATTAAGTGCTGTTCCAGATATGGAAAATCACTGCTCCAAAGTTTGTCCCCTGATCTAGGAAAACTATAATGATTGAGGTGACTCAGTTAAAGGTGATTCAAATGTCTAGTGGCTGGAACCATCTTGAGGCTCTACTTTGACTGGACTCCTCTGGGATAATCAACTCAAGGCCCTAAACATGGACTCTCTAAGGACATGAGATTCTTACATGATAACATGTATGAAGGCTCAGGATTCAACATGTGATTCTTCCTGTCTGACCCTAGGTGTCCGCCACCAGACTGCTCATTGTGTGAAGAAAGGCCGAGGGATAGTGAAAGCTACATTCTGTAATCCAGAAACACAGCCCAGTGCAAGACAGAAGAAGTGCTATGAAAAGGATTGTCCACCCAGGTAACCTTTTATAACATGGAGCTGAAGCTCTGTGTGTCAGCTTCCCAGACATCAAACTAAGGAGCAATTAAATGCTCAGTGGTAATGGAGGGCTGTGGACTGTGTTATCAGAATAAATGCAGGAAAGCAGTGCAAGACTTCTGTGGCTGTGCTGTAATAGCCTATGGCAAGCTGTGAAGACATTTTCTTCCCAAGGAGCAAAGCTTCTTATAAAATGGCTGCATTGTATGTTTTTATTTGCTGAATAAGTCTCAAACAGTTGATGATAATACTGCATACGACGTTCACCCAAGTTGCTGAACTACTGGGTTTGACTTTTCCAAGGGCACTTTACCACTTTAGGCAGAGCTTTCACATATGTTGGTGCTCAGAGCTGACTGTGCCCACTTTCACTTCGCCCACTTTCACTTCAGCCTTCCTCAAAGAGAAGATTTAGAAGGCAGACTTTTGCAACCTAGCTACTACTGACATTCAGGGCATATGACTGATGTGGGGGTTGTCTTGTAAATTGTGGAATGCTTAGCAACATCTCTTGCCTGGATCTACTTAGATGCTAACGGTAACCCCTTCTTCCCAATCCAGATTGTGGCAACCTATCTATCTCTAGACATTGGCAAATGATTTCTAGGGGACAATATGACCCTTGGTTAAGAATTTCTGTTAAAGAGATATTTGTTTGCTAGCCATACTTGTTCAAGATATTGGGAACCTAGAAGGTACCTGAGATGCTATTGTGGAAAGAGAGAGGAGAGAGAGGAGAAAGAGAAGGAGAGAGAGAAAGGGGGGGGACAAGAAGGAGAAAGGAGAGGGAACTCTTAAGTCATTCTAGGTATGCTTTGTGGCTTGAAATCAGCTCCTGAGTAGAGCAGTGTAGTGGTGACCTGAAAAATGGGCCCATGACACTCACTTCCCAGTGCATACAGCCAATTGTCAACTCACTTGGGAACATAGTCTTTTCAAATGTGATTACGTTAAGGTTCTTTAAAAAGAGAGCTCATCCTGGTTATCCAGGGAGGCCCATCACAAGTGTGATAATGAGAAAGAGGCAGAGGGGAATTCAACATACACACAAAGGAAAAGGTAATGTAAATTGGGAATTGAGAGAGATTTGACAACGCTGGTCTTCAAATTTGGAGTGATCTAACCACAAGCCAAAGTATATTGGCAGCTACCACAAACTGAGGAATTAAAGAAGGAATACTCATCTACACCCTCCGTAGGGATCACAGCCCTGCAAACACCCAGATTTAGGTCCACTCATCCTGATTTTGGACATTTGGCTTCCAAATCTGTCAGAGACCAAATTTCTGTTGTTTAAAACCAGGAAGTTTGTTGGCAATTTGTTACAGCAGCTTCTGGGCAATAAGGCCATGTAATGTTTATTAATATAAAAGCAGAGTAAAGGAATCCCTCCACCAAGACACACATACTCCAAAGCTGTTACCTGTGTGTATATGGCTATGGAATTTTTAGAATGTCACAAAGAGTCACTCCCTTAAGAAGCTAACAGTAAGGAAAGCAATACGAGGATCATACGCTTTGGCAAGATCAAGTTGCTGTCATTGGTTGATCGAGCTGTTGTTAATGCAGTCAACAGCTTCACCAGGACCTTGCCTCCCAGTTATTGTCCGCAGAATCCCTGAAGATTTGTGGTGGACTGGCATCTCTCCACCCTTTGGCTCTGATATTAAATAATAGTCAAGAATATTCTTTTTTTCTGCAGTGCTTCCTAAGCTGAGCTCCTGAATACAGCTTGTTGATTCACTGCAACTGTACACCTTCCTCTCTTGCACTCCAGTCATGAAGCACTGGCAGTTAGAATGGAAGAGCTGACGGGCGTACACAGGAGCCATGAGCCAAACAGTCACTGTGCGGTCCTAGCCAGAGCAAACGTGTCATCCGGGGTCAGGCTTTCTTGCTGAACAGATGATGATCCTATGCGCAGTACTGCTTCTGCCGCCTATGTGGACACACCTCGGAAGACGATTTGTATTCCCCAGCTTCTGCTGTGGTGTTGGAAGCATAATTTCTTCCAATTCTTTTGAAACAATTTGCATATTATACTTGAGGAAGAAGAGCAAAGAATAAGTGGTTTGGCAAGTCCTTTAAAAATCCTGCCATTGGGTAGCATTTTACTGCAATTTAAGCCACTTTTCCTTTTGCTGGCATCTGTTTCCTGAGGTCATAGCTTTTGTTTTGCTTTGCTTTGTTTTTGAGGCTCTTTCTGCATGTAGTTAGTGCCATGGGCCCAGCTTGTAGTCATTGAAAATCAACAAAATTAGCAGATCAAGTGTGAATTGGCTCAGTTCACACTCAAGCTAATGGTGCAGCCATCAGGAGATATTAACAATTCCAATGACATCTTCTCTTCTGGCTGCAAAGTAAAATGGTTGCACTTGTTTCATTTTCTTAAAAGTATTTATTATTTTTATTGTATGCCTGTATGTATGTAAGTGCATCTGTGTCATGCAATGCCTGCAGAGGTCAAAAGAAGGTGTCAGATCCCCTAGAACTGGAGTTATGGATGATTGTTTGCCACCATGTGGATGCTGGGAATTGAACTCAGGCCCTCTACAAGAGAAGCCAGTGCTCTTAACTGCTAAGCCATCTATCCAACCCCTTGTTTTGTTTTTATATTCAAGGTAATACATGCGCACGCACACACATACACATACACACACACACACACAGAGATAGAGTATATTTAAAATTAGTGGTATTTGTACTTAGGCGATTACTTGACTCCAGCTAGTTGATTTATTGACATTTAATTTTTATTTTAAATTTTTTTATTAACATTACTTTAAAAAATAACATGATTACACTAAAAATTGTTGTATAGGTTGGGGAATTTGGAAGAGGAGTGAATGCCAAACTCATATTACAGCAACAGTGATAAATTTCACAGTATTGTTAAAGCTTGGTAGTACTGTTTTGTCAGTAAAAATACCACTAAATTACAACAGACACATAGAA